GGCCGGGATAGTAAAGTGACCCCCAGCGGAGCTGCCCGCCTGGGCAGAGGGCAACCGGGCCGGGTCAAGGGGGCTACCCGCCCCCCCAGCTCGCTCTCTTCCTCGGCTGCCGCCGCCACGCTAGACTGGACATTCTTGTACAGCCGCCTCAGTGTCCGTTTTAACAAGCCACCATAATTGCTTCCCTTTTCCTTAGCTGTGTTGCCCATCCTTACACCTCCCTGGGCACGCAGAAGAGAGCCTTAGATCTTGCACGCTGGCCACCTGGCACCTGGCCGTGGCTTGGTGCAGGATGCAAGGGTGGGTAGAGCTCTCCTGAGCTGTGGTCATTAACAGATTTCAAGGACATTTCCCCCCATTCATCCCAGTTATGTCCCTTGCTAAAATAGGTTAACGGTGTCTAATTAACCACTGCACATTGTCATGCCGCATAAAGATAGCATCCTGGCTGTTCTCTGAGCCCTGCTACTTTATCTCCATTTAGATCTCCGTGGTAGTCCATTAAACGAGAAAGAAACAGTTTAACAGAGATGATGTCTACATTAGAACTGCCTTTCACCCTTCAGCACTGAAGTTGCAGGCAGCTCGGAGGCAGCTCAGCTGTACATTAAAGGTGTGTGTGGGGATAAAGCCTCGGTTTTGAGGTTCAACCCCCTCTCATTAACGTGGAGGGAGGATTCCCGCTGGCCAGAATTGAGCAAAGACAACACTCAGGAGCAATATCAGATACATATCCTCTGCCCCAGGACACAGCTAGGAGAGAAACAGGTATTCTGTACTAACGTGGGGTTACATGGGGTCTGTCAGGGTCTTCTGCCCAGTTTCTCAGATATTCAAGACCCTGAAAATGAAAGAGGGTCAGCAGCTGGCCAAAGCCAGAGAGAATATTCTGGGATTTTGGATATGCCTGGAAGCACAGACAGTTCTGCACTGAAAAGGAGTTTTAAATGGAGCTGTCCAGGTGATGGGGTCAGTCCGTGTTCTTTGGCTCTCCACATTCAATGGACTTAGCAGAAGAAACGAAAGAAACAGAGGTATCACGGTCTCACAAAAACTAGGGGTGGCTGATGTATAATACAGCAGACTGAATGCATTTCTGGGCACTGGGGTTATATTGTTTTGTTTGCCCTTACTTGAGTAGGTGTATCTATAGTTCATAAACAATTGCTCATTTTGTAGGTCCTTGTTGCTGCCCTCCCTGGGCTGTGCCTCCCACAGGAGCAAACCAGCCAGGGCAGTGTGCTTCTTGGTGCTGAGAACGTGAGAAAAGAGTAGGAAATCTGTCTGTGCTGGCTTGAGTTTACAGTTTGGTTTCTTCCATGTCTGCTTTCACTCACCACTAGAAAGCTGTGACCATGTGAATGAAGAAGATGCTGTGTATCCAAGCCTGATATTCCTGAAGGATGAAATGTTGCTCTCAACATGTTGCAATTGGCACTGATAACCTGAGTCAGTTCTCAGGATGGGGTATTCCACGATGCTTAAAGCAGCGTGATAACATCATGAAGAATGCCTGTGGGGCTTTCCATAGCACCTGGAGAGCAAAGAGACAAACAGGTCTGCAGGAATAGTATCTCCATGCTTAGCCCTCAGCTAAACTAATGGAATGGACAGGGTTGGAGGTAGGGCACCTTTCAAGGATCTGTTCACAACTTTCTTCCCTTACTGCCTTGAAATAGGGACGCATGGCAGAGGGTCCTTAGGACACAGGGCAAAGGTTGTCTTTTATCTCTGGGTCACTTTGTTAGGTGGATTCAGGTAATGCAATTGGGCCAAAACCAAAAAACATTAGTCAGGAACCAACCAAAATATTTTGTAATTTTTTTTTCCAACCTGAAAGGGAATGTAAAAGTAATTTGACATCAAACAAAATGAAAGGAAGCTGTTGGGTTCAAGGCTTCATTAAAAAAAGACAGGAAATAGGCTGGTTGGTATCTTCTTCACCTAATAGCTGGGTCATTAAGGCCACAGGGAGTATAAAAACATGTAATTCCTGTGCTCCAGAAGTTTCATACTCTATTTCCCAGATAGTTCTCTACCCAGGAACTTATCAACTGGTTTGAAATGCCAGTTTCATCAAATAATGCTGTTCCAAATAATTTATTAACAAACATAACTAGTGCAGGTGACTGGAAGCAGACATCTCACCTAAATGGAGCAATGGTCATTTCTAGCTCCTGCTCTATTTCCACTGGTATTTAAATGCTCCGTATAAACCTCAGTACTGCCAGCATGAGTGACTGCCATCACCACCACCCTCGGACCCTGTGGCACAGGGACTAGGGTGTTTTCCTGGGACAGCCGACACTGGGGCTTTATCTTGCCCTAGAGAGAGGAGGGAACTGCCTTGTTTGACAGGAGAGTGTTCTAACACCTTTTCCCCCAAATTAGTATTTTTTCCAATGTAGTGCAGCTATTTCATAATGAAGCATTTGCTCATTGCCCTGAATAACATCACAAGGAGAAGCTGGGAAGGCTTTAAGTGTGGAAACACAAGTGAAGTAGTCTCTGCCTTTAGGACTAACGTATGACTGACTTCCCTGTGGGCCACACAGATATCTGTCATGACAGGGAGCTCAGGAAAAAGAAACAGAAATTGCTTACGGGGATGGCAAGAGTGACCCTCTCCTGGGAAGTATAAACATGTGGAGTGCTTCACTCCTGCCTGGGGACAGGAGATGAGCAAAGAGGTAAGGAGTGTGAGTACTGAGGAAAAGATTATTTGGGGTGGGACAATTATCCAGAGTTATGGAATCATGCTAAGAAGAGGTTAGATTGAACCTCCAGGAAATCATCTCACTCTGCAAAGCAGTGCAAAGCCATCATTTGGGATGTTTCAGCTCAGTGAGGGCAAGGCTCTGAAGACAGGCTGTGGGAAGCAGTTCTGTGAAGGCGAAAGGGTAGGATAAAATGGGATAAATCTTGCACTGTCTTTCCATCTGTGCCTTCTCAGGTTCTGTACTCCACTGAGAGCTGGTGCTTGAGTCCCTGTAGCAATCTCTTTCTTTCTCTATGGTATCAAGGGTTCACAAAAAGTACTTTGCACTACCACTGGAGAGAAGGATGGAGCTGGACAATTACTCCTCACTGAAAGAGCTCTCTCCTAAATTCCCTGGCTCCGTTGCATTTCTGTCTCTTGTGATGGGTGCAGTTATAGCTGAAAGCCCAGATGCAGATGTCACCTACATGGCTGCAGTTCTGATTATAGCAGTGGTTATTACTGGGCTCAGATCACTGATTCAGTGTAATCTTTAGCTTCTCACAGATTGCAAGCTCCAGGGAGAGCAGTGGAGACAAGGGGCTTTCTTCTTCTCATAGCTGGATGTCATCTGTGCCCTGCTCCTTGCTCTTAGAGGAGTAGATTATTCACAGGAGAACTGCATAAGGACCATGACCTGCCAGGACAGAGGGCAGAGGAGGAGAAGCCTGTCCCATCCCATGGAAGTGCTTTGAAAGGAGCCGTGCAAGGCAGTGAACTCTTACATTTTGATGTGCTCTGGGGCAGTGCATGATTCACAGGAGAACTGCATAAGGACCATGACCTGCCAGGACAGAGGGCAGAGGAGGAGAAGCCTGTCCCATCCCATGGAAGTGCTTTGAAAGGAGCAGTGCAAGGCGGTGAAACAACTTCTCTTACATTTTGATGTGCCCTGGGACAGTGCATGTGCTAGAGGAGAGCCCCATGTACTCTTTGTCATGGCACCCTGACTTCAAGAAAGAGGGAGAATATTTATTCCCAACACATAGAGATGAAACTTCACTCTGCAAAATGGCCAAAGCAATCAGCGAGTGATGGAGTATCTGCTAAAAAGAAACCTGGCATTTAATTAACTTTTCAAAGTGCTGGTTCAGCAACCTCCATGTTTTACATTTTGAATATTGAACAAGCGTCCCTAATCGGGACTGAATTACTTCTGGGCTTGCTGGGGTGGAGAGCAAGGGAGCTGCCATTTGCCAGTGCCTCCCCCCCACGTTATTATTATGAACTCCTGTTAACTCAGCCAGATCAACCCTGATTTACTGCAGCGACAGCATGTCTGACCTGAACCTGGCCAGCCCAGGTGCAGCTCCTCACCTACAAAGGCAACCAGATAATCTTTATGCAAGACCAGGGGAAGGAAGGACCTGTTGGTTTCTCAGGGGTAGGTGGACAAATTACAGCATCTTCTTCGGACCAGGGGAAGGAAGGACCTGTTGGTTTCTCGGGGGTAGGTGGACAAACTGCAGCATCTTCTTCACTCCTTAATGTGCCAACCTCTCTACTCAGATAAAGGGAGCTTTACCTGCAGCTGATGGCAGAGGGGATGAAAAAGCAGCTGAGAAGCTAAGAAACAAGGAAGTGTGACTCTTGCTGTATCTGGGCATGGCTGTCTCTTTGGACCCAAAGGGTTCTGCTTCAATCTGGTGCACTCAGAGACCTTTTGCTATACTGGTCACTGGATACAGTGGTCACTCATAACTCTTTAAAGGTGCAATGTGTTCTGTCAGACCTGGTGTAGGAATTGTTTTGCA